AACCCGCCTAAAGACGTGCTCCCCTCAGAGGAGTACGAGGAGCTGAGGGCGACGTGCCGGCAGAGCCAGAAGGCAAAGCGGGCCGAACAGGCCCAGGAGGCGGACGAGGAGAGACCACCAGGAGAGGAGGAGCCCGCTACACCCGAGGGTACCGACTCTGTGAGTGAAATCTGGCTATTAAAAGCTTGTTTCTCACTAGATAGAAGCCTTTATGAGGCTCAACCACCTGCTTTATTATTAATCAGATATTATTTAATCTGGGAGGATGGAATTAGTTTTATGGGTTCTAATCCCTTGTTTTTTTTATTTTGGGAGATTTTAAAGTCCCAGCACTCGTAGAGTTCAGTAAAAGCTGAAAGTTTGTCACATTTTCAATGTGAGCATTTTTTACACATGTAATGTATTGTTCTGTTCAGGAGGAGCTGATGCAGAAGATAAGAGACCAGGTTCTTCTTCGTAGAGACAAAGTTTACCAGGACAACGAGGGAGAAGTCAGGAAGAGATGGAACTATGAAGATGCTGTGAGTTTCTGCTGGGATTATTTCCCCAGACCTCCCTGTCCATCTTTTCTTTATTCTTATTTGAATCTTCATTTATTTATTTCTTTACTTTACTCTTTTATTCTTTTAGTTTTTTATTTATGTATTAGTTTTTAATTTATTTATTTTACTTTAATCTTATTTTAATTCTTTATGCATTTCAGTTTTTTCCATTTGTTCTCTTTTTTGTATCTCTATTTTTATTCTTTATGTATTTCTGTTTTTTATTATTCATTGCTTGATTTTATTCTGTTTCTTTATTTTATTTTATTTTGCCAGTTTTATCACGTTCATATATCGCGTCTCAGGAAGTCATGTTCATGTTGAGCTCCAGAAGTATCATACATGCATAGATGCAGGCAAATCTTAAACCTAATAATTATTTGAAGAAACACAGAACAAACCAAAGACATGAAAACAGCTTTGAATGAGTGACTCTAAAAATGTCAGAACACATTTTGTAAATAAAAACATGACTGAGAAAAGTAGAAATAATTTAGTCCAGTTTAAACTCTCCCGCTGTCGCCGGATCACAAACCCAGCAGATTTCCTCGTTACTTTTCGACAGATCAAGCGTCCATACTTCCACGTCCGGCCGCTGGACCGCCTCCAGCTCCGAGCCTGGCACTCCTACCTGGACTGGGAGATCGCTGAGCTGAACAAAGACACCAGAGAGTCCTCACAAGGCAAGCACACGCATCATAAAAGTGTTTCATGTTTGAAAGTATCTGTATTTAACGCTGCTGCCTTCAGCAGATCCAAACCAGGAATCGACGGAGGAATCTGAGATCACAACGCAGCGCCAGGATTCTCCCGCCGTCCAGGGCGACCACAGGGTTCGCATCCTGTTTGAGCGCTGCCTGATCGCCTGCGCTCTGTACGAAGAGTTCTGGACCAGGGTGAGTTAAATCACTTATTGGCTTTATCTGTGAGGAGCTTGTGACAATGCAACACCTTCCTGTGTGTGTTTCAGTACATTCAGTACCTGGAGCCGCAGAGTGTGCAGGAGACCCGGGCCGTCTACAGGCGAGCCTGCCAGGTCCACCTCCCCAACAAGCCCAACATCCACATGCAGTGGGCCACGTTTGAGGAGAGACACGGTACGACACGCCCGTCTCCTTCCAGAGCTGCTCTTCACTTCCAGCTGCTTGTTTATACGAAGAACCAGAGACATTAAAATTTATTTACTCCTCCTTTTTTGTGTCTCAACATGCTTTTGTAAACAAAGCCCAAGTTTCAAAGGCAAAAGTTTCAATGTAAAACAAAACAAAAAGCACATCGGAAAAGCTGCTCATGCGAACTTCCTGCCCGTTTCCACCAGGTGACCTCAACGAGGCCCGGCGGGTTCTGGAGGCCCTGGAGAAAGCCCGGCCTGGTCTGGCTGTGGTTCGCATTCGCAGGGCGGCCTTGGAGCGCCGAGCGGGCCGGCTGGACCAGTCGGAGGCTCTGCTGCGAGAGGCGGTGGCTGAATCCAAAGAGAGGCCGACGCTGCACGCCTTCTACTCCATCAAACTGGCCCGTCTGCTGCTCAAAGTGGCCAGAAACCCAGATGGCGCTCGCACAGTTTTACAGGAAGCGCTGGAGATTAGTCCGGTGAGAGTAGAGAGTTTAACTGGTCTCTCACTTAAACAGCATGATGGGTCTGGGTGCTTCGTGGTGTCAGGGAGGAATTTGCTACAAAATAATTGAAATATTGTCACAAGAGATTTCTCCTTGAGGCTGTAAAAAGATAATTTTGTCCTAATTAAAAATAAAAAGTATCCATCTATTCTGGGCACCAGTCAGGTCCGGATGCTCACTTTGCAGCCTCTTTTTTTTTTAATAAAAATGTTTTTCTTTTCTCCATAAATGATTCTTCCATCAGGATAACGACAAGCTGCACTTGAACCTGTTGGACCTGGAGTCGTCTGCGGAGCCGGGCGCTTCACCCGAGGCGGTGCAGGAGTGTGTGACCCGGGCCCTGGCGGCTCCGCTCACCCCACAAACCAAGTTACTTCTGTCACAGAGAGGCCTCCAGTTCACAGAGGAGTACAGCAACTCCATTAAGAGGTTAAGCATCACGTTTCTGACCATCCTGTTCGGGTCGGGCGAAGCATTTTCATCTCAAAGTGAAGCTGTGCTGTCTCCGCAGCGTGCTGTCCGTCTACGAGGCGCATCAGAAGCTGCTGGACGAGCTGGGAGGCACAAAGAGAGAAGCAGAGAATGGGTGAGAGCAGAGGGCAAAACTCGCCTCACATTATGATTTTGGATGGAAAGTTCAGTATGTCAGAGACACTTATTAAAGCTTTCTGTTTTAATAAGTGTTACAGTGTCATACACTTATCAGAAGTAGGAAAAATGAACTCAAGACTTAGAAATAGGAGGAGTAGGACAGCTGATGACTGATCAGAAACTGAACCAAAATAACTGGATTATTTTCTGGTTTATTCGAATGAAACCAGAATTACAGATGAATAATTATTATCTGCATAGATCTGTTTACCATTCAGGGATTTGGAGTCTGATCCTTCCTTCGCAGAAACGTTGGAGTCATTGATGCTTCTTGAACAATATGGCTCCAGTAAATAAGGTTCTAGTCCTTCAGTAGAACCGGGTTCCTCCTCTTCATCATTCCGATTTGCTTCTTCCGTCAAAACTGCAGATGAATCTCAAATGTTCACTGAAATCCTCGCAACTTCTGTAGATTCAGCCCTAGTTTACATTTCGACTTACCCTGATTACATCACAAAATGGCGCCAACTACTACATACAAAACCAGCGACACTGAATTTATAGAATTCACATCAGCTCATCTTTCTAAATCGTGATTTTAACATTTTATTTGTATTAATCTGGTTCTTAAGGGACGAGGATCCAGAGAAAACTAGCAAAACAGACGACAGCTCTTCTGCAGCTGCAGCAGCTGCTGCAGCTGCACCAGCATCCAGCGCGTCACACGTTCCCATCACCACGCCGCCGCCTCCGGTGATGGCCACCGACCCGAGCGCCCAGGCCGGATACGGAGCGTACAGCAGCTGGTACCAGGTAAAAGTTAAGAAGTTCTGCCAGTTAATTTTTACAGATTCCTATTTTCGTTGTTTTTGAAATTTGAAAACTGATGTTGAATTTGTCTGAAAGTTTTTAATGACTCAACTCATCAGTTTCTTTTCTGTCTCTAAGCAACCGCAGTACGGCGGCTACGGCGGCTACGGCTACCAGAACGCCTGGAACTACAACCAGTCCTACTATCCACCCAGTTAAACCCAACAGCTCTGGAACCAGCCCGACCCGTCTGAGCAACAGACTTATTTCCCAGCATGCCCCTGTGCTTTCAGCTCGGCGTCGGTGAATCTCGGTGGAAAAAGCAGCTAAAGGGAAACCGTGGCACCCATTTTCTGTAAAGTCTTCTGATTTTAATTAAAATTATTTTTGTATTTGTTGTCAAATCGACGCCTTTTCTCATGTTTTAAAGTCGCTTACTCTATCCAGTGTGTGAATGGCGTTTTGTACCATTTGTTGGTTTTTAATGTACATAAAATGTGTTTTATAGTGTCACACTAAGGCTTTCTTAGATTCTTTTTTTTGAAAAACAATTCAACACTACATAAAACAAACTCATGTTTCTATTATTCACCTAAATGTTCAAAAACAAGAAATAAGCGTTCTAATAGAAAGGTACCATGAATCCATTTCACTTCCTCCTGTTTTTATAGACAAACTGATCATTTGTTTGTGTTGAATACTTTAATTTAACCCAAATGAGCAGGTTTGGTTGTTTTATTAAGGTACATCAGCAACTTTGGCTTCATTTAGACTGTAGCAATAAATGGAGTCCAGCACCAAGTTTTTGGCTTCAGCTCCCAAAATATCAGCACTGTGGTAATAATGCAGAAGAAGCTTAAAACTTAATTTATCTTTTAGAGACGAATCTCTCTGAAAAAAGACCCCCCTATCCATCACCATCTATAACACTTTACTAATCCTAAGGATTAATAAAGTATTTTTGGATTACTAACAGACAACTTTTGATTTTTTTTTTCTCTCAGCCACTCTTCAAAGTGGGAAAAACAAGAGAACATACTGAAGCGGTGCAACTTGTTTGCTGTCATGTCTTAACATCATCTTTATGTTGCCAAACTGTTCAAAGCTCTTGGAGGAAAAGCTCACAAGTCAAAGAGCAAACTCGCATGGAAATCAATTTTTATAAAATTTTTTTTACTTTGCTAGAAGTTAAAATGTAAACTTTCATCTGTCTGATCCAGGATTTATTTTCTGTAAAACAATCTCCACCTAACAGTTTGACACCCTTTCTTCCACATTTCAAGTACTTCTTGGATTAATATTTTAAGATGATGTGGTTAAGATTATTTTCAGAAAGAAAAACCTTTTAGCGGCATCATTTTTCAGGTTTTCTACTTTGATGAGAAAAGGTTTTACAAAAGTGTGAGGAAGGATAATTTCTATAAAATTCAGAACATCAACTCGATTCTCCCAGCTAGTTTTATTGTAATCGGTTTCCTCGTGGACACAGCTTTCAGCAAATCTGAACTCATTAAAAAAATGAAAGTATAACGTCACAAAGTCGGGAAGATTCCAGGAAATAAACTTAAGGCCCTTTCAGAACCACTTTAGCACGTATTCTTTAGCAATACAAGGATCGAGTTAAAACTTTGTTCTGTGCATTTTTTTAATAAATGTGTTGAAACCACAAGCAGAGTTCCTTAGGGAAGTATCAGTCAGAAGGCAGCTATCTTCAGCTCGACCGGCTGAGGTCGAAGGTCCAGTTCAACGCCTGCAGCAGATCTGAAGCTGCATTCAGTCAGTCTTCCCAAACAAAAACTCAGATCAAATTCAGAGGAGCTCCAATGTGTCTGAATGCAGCTTCACTGCTTCTCTGCTTCGGTTCAGCTAGCTGGCTTTGTGAGTGATACTAGCAGATGGCAGCTCGGTTCCTGGATCGCTCGGTTCTCGTGTCGACGTCGTGGTAGAGGTGAGGTAGGCTCACAGAGCTGATCCATCTCACTTTTTGGTAACAACCAGCACAGCTGAAGGCACCAAACCTGTGCAGAGCGCAAAGAGAAGCCGATTTTAGCCAAACGCAAACCACGTTTGAAAAAAAATAAAACTCATGGACATGATGCCATTTGTGATGTCTGACAGCACTTAAAACTCGTTTCCTGGACGCTCACCCAGCTCTTTGAGAGGCTTCTCCATGTCCAGTTCGGTGTAAACGTGGCGTGGATACGGCGACAGCAGCGTGAAGTCCTGACCATCGGGTGTGTTGCCGTTCATCTGCACGTAGACGCGCACCGCCGCCAGCGGCTCCTGGGCCTTGAACACCGTGTTGATGGTGGAGCCGTCCAGCAGACGAACCTGCGAAGGATTCAACGAAAGGAAGCGTGAAATAACTCTAACAGCAGCAATACAGGAAGGAAGGAAAGAAAGGAAGAAAGAAAGGAAAGTAGAAAGAAAGAAAAAAGTTTTTAAAGGAAGGAAAGATGTACACTGAAAAAAATGTCAGAAGTAGAAAAGGAAGATCATTAGAGGAAAAGAATTAACGGTCTTGTTGTCTCTCTTAATGTCCTGAAAGGGGTCTGTAGTTCTTTATTTTATATTTCAAATGTGGCCTACTTCATGTCGCCCGAAAATCACATAGAATCTCAATAAAACACTTTGAAGATGTGACTGATTCTGACAAAGTGGAAAATTGTTCTATCATCATTTCACAACTCTTTATATCCAGATTTCAGAACTGTGAGGAAAATAAGACACAAGGAAGGATGGAATAAGGAACAACAAGCTCCAGTAGAGAAGGAATACTAGGAAGGACAGAAAGACAAGAAAGAATGGAGGACACAAGGAATGGAGGGTAGAAAGGTACAAAAAGCCTTAAAGTGTAAATAATGTAACATAATAAACCTGTATCCTGGACTCATCATACTCCTTCTTTGTGGGCGGGGGCCCCTGACCCGTGGGTGACGACGGACTGGGCGGGGTGGGCTGGGTGGATGTCCCGGTGCTTGGAGGTGCACCACCTCCAAACTAAACCAGAGGAGGGAAAAAAGACAAAACGGTCAGAATTACAGAGTAACAAATGCAAAACAAAGTCAGTGTGTCTAAGGTACCTTCTGTGCTCTCTCCTCTCGGTCTCGTGCGATTTTGTCTTTAACCCTTTGCCTGACAAGGACAAGAAAAGTTAGAAACAGTGATAAGAAGTAAAACCATTATGATTTCAACTAAAATGTCCTCACCATGAAGACTTTCCACAAACTAAACCATCAGAAATAATAACTGCATCATTTTGCATAAACATCCTGCAAAGTTACAGTTAAATCTTGCATATAAATTGTCGTGCTTTCAGCATTTTGCTTCAGGATTTTATAAACGCATTAATTGTTATCAAAACCTTACTTATGTGGCTTTAAACATTAGTTGTGAATCCTTTCAGAAGCTAACCTAGCCAGCTTGTCCTCCATCTTCTCTCTCCTCCGCTGATCTGCCAGTTTCTTCATCTCGTCGTCCTGAATCTTCTGCCGGATCTGCTGCAGCTCCTGGCCCTGCCTCCTCCGCTGCTTTTCCCGCTCCACCTCCTCGGCTCGCTCGCGCTCCCTCCTCTCCGCTTGCTTCACTCGCATCAGCTCCTCTAGTCTGAAAGGCACGGACAAACCAGCTGGTGAATGACAACGCATGGTGTTGACGCTGCTTAAAACCGTTCAGGTTCAGCTCTGACCTCTTGACCTGCTCACGTTTCTCCTCCTCCGACATCGGTCGTTTCGAAGCCTCTGGGTTGTCGGAGTATAATTCATCTCCCTCTGCGATTTCTGGCACTAAAACATGACCACGGCGGGATTAATAACACATCTTTAAAGAAATTATTCACAAAGACAGATCTACCTTAGACAATATGAATAAAAATATTAGATATTTCTTTCACTCCTCAGTAAAACTGACCTTCACCTGAGTCCCCTGCTGTCGTCTGATCTGCCTCTTCTCCTAAAACGTTCCCAGCCGGAGGAACGTACGGCTCGTCGATGTCTGGATCGTTCTCATGTTCCATCAACCTGAAAGAGACGCATCCGAAACAAAAGGTCAGGCAGCCAGTCTGTTCTCTGACATGATGCCACACGTATCATGTCAGAGAACATTTTTACTGGGCATCATTCCAGTAAAACTGAACTTCACTGTGTGAGAACCACTCAAAAAGGAATCGTCATCAAACTTTACAAAGATTAAATATTCATCTGAGGTTCTGCTGCTTGTATTGCTACATTTAAAAAAAAAAGACTTTTAAAAGATTTTAGACTACAACCAGCTTCATGGAGAGACACGTGAAACAATCAGATCTTTACAAATACTAAACAAATGAAATGTATTCATCCACAAGTGTGGGTCACTTCTGCTCTGGCTTGAGCACTTCTCAGCTTGAAAACTGCTTAATAGTGGTATTTTTAAAGTTTTTAACATTCTTCTGTTCCATCATAGTAATTTATTAAACCAACTTGAGTTGGTTTGAGTAGTTTATTTTAGTGAATCAAAAATCCGAATAAAAACTGCTTTCTAAATGCTTACAGAGGTTATAAACGTTTCATGATGAAGTCAGTTTGAGCATCTGAAAGATTGAAGTGTGAAAACATGGCAAAAACAAGAGAAATACACAGAAACTTTCCACCATGACTGTAAATGTCTCACCAGTCCATGGCTTGCTCTATCCCCTGGTTCCCTGTATTGGCCACAGCTTTCTCCCTGAGGAAGCGACACAAAGGACAGGTTAACCAGCATCAGCCTCCAGCTCACTCAAATCAGTCGCATGTGGTGTTTGGATCGGAACTCACGCTCTGTTTCTGCCAAAGCCCATCTCCAGAAGGCTCTCCAGTGTTGTTAGCTCTGCCATTTTGACCTGAAACAAGCAAGTTACCAGCTTTTATGAATCGACAGAAAGAAAAGAGGGGATCAGATAACTCACTTTAGATTTTCCTCATTGAAAGTAAACACATTTACAATATGTTCGGAGTAAAAAAACGAGAAGAACACAGACTGGTTTCCCCCTGAGCAGCAGCCTGCTATTTCCAGTCTCAGCTGAAGTAATGCTAAGAGCTAACGTTAGCATCAATGCTGCTAACGAGGCGAGTTTTATTGACTAAAATGGTTAAAATAGCCTTGCTTTAAATCATTCCCGCTAAAAATGACTTTGTTATCTTGAATGAAGATAGTCATAGTTGTTGTGTTATTTTAAATGTGTTAATATCAGAGGAACAATAGAGACTGATGAAGGGAGCGATTGTTAGCTACTTACACATCAACCTGCTACAACAATTCATCAGTACGGAAAGTCATGTGGCTCAAAAGGGACCACGCGAAATTAGACTTTTTTTTGTAGATTAAGCTCAGTATTATGAGAATGATGCAATCATTTTTCTGACATAAAAATGGTTGGATCAAGAAGTTTGAATGAATGCCTTTTGGTCTTTTTAATTAAAAAAATAATAATTTTACATTATGTTATTAAATAATCATGCAATGAATGATATCATCATTGACATCGTTCATATCAAAAGTTTTATTTTAAGTTATTTCTACAGATGACTGAATATGAAGTTGAGAATGTGCATTAGCTCTGTAACACTGTATTTGGAGCCAAAACGTTGACTTTTAAATGTTTCATTTTTACAAATCCTTCACTCATTGGATGTTATAAAATACAAATATTGCTGGGAAACATCAAACGATTCTCTCTAATAAAAGTTCCTCAAATCCATCAAACCAGAACAGGAAGTAAATTTGAACTATGATCCTGTGACATATTGAAGATTTGTTTTAAAACAATTTCTATTGGTTCCTTTGGTTTCTAAATCTGATAAATCAGTTTTGAGCTTCCTGTTGGCCTGAATGATTTGATCCTATCATGCATTGTATGTTTATTTGTGTTCAAGCTATATAATTTGCTGATTATTATATGCAGGTTGGGTTTGTTACATATTTACAGTAAGTGTAATGATTAATTTTTCTCTACCCCACGCAGTCTTAAGCAGCTCTCAGTCACGAGTTCATCCATTACTCAGACTTTCCTTTCAGCCTCTCACTGGTTTTTTTCACACTTTCAATTGTAATGCTTTGCATCTGTTTTCCTCCTACTTGTATTTACTTGCAGGGTTAATTTGGTAAGTATGAGCTTTATTCATTTGTATTTGTTTGTCAAAGTGATGTGCAATTTAAAAAAAAAAAAAAAAACATGTTACTTGTCAATCAGATGTCAATACTGTTTTTCTGAGAAACCCAAACCTTTGATCTATGACCTGGTTTGTTTTTCTGTTGTTTTGGTTGGTTGTGGCACATTTATGCTGTTTTGGCAGTAAAAACAAATTATCCTATATGTAATCTTAAACAGAGAGATAAAATTTCACAAGAAAGAGCAAAAAAAAAAAAAAAAAAAAATTTTTTAAACATTAAAAAAATGTTGAAATTGAATGAAAGTTGATCAGGTTGAAACATTTCTGTGTTTTCTTCTTGGAAACAAGTTGATGCATGACTGTTTGATTTGCACATATCTTAATTGACTGGTGCCATCATATTTCTTTCTTTTGAAGATGGCATTCTATAAAAGTACAATGTAAAGATTTTTGCTGTTGATCTTGTTCACCTTGTATTGAAAATGTGCCAATTTATTTCTTTTTGATCGCAATAATTTATTGGCACTTGTAAATCTTCCTATTGGAAAGGTCCTCTGAATAGAGATGGGCAAAGTTGAAGGCAATAACAGGGATGAAGGTCTTTTCAGCCTATCTTTGAATTACTTTATGGCTCTGTTTTAATTTTTTTAACAGAGGATGGGTTAAGGGTCAAAGTTCACCAACGATAAGTTGAGTTAGATTTTGCAAAATAAAGATGAAGCTTGCCAAAAGGAAGAGTCAATTATCTATTTTAATGCTATTTTAATGCCTAAATATAAAAAATGTATGTATTTTTTTAAATAGAGTTCAAATTCAAGGTTTTTTGTTTGTTTTTTTTTTTTTGCTACAAAGCATCTTGCTCTCAACATCCTGTACAGGTTTATTGAGTGAGTGACCCTGATTTTATTGGTGTCAAAGGGTGGAATGTAATCTCAGACGCTGTAAAAAACCAAGATTAGGTTTATGATATTTCAGTGATAATTCATCAGATGTGGCTGCTATCACACGGAGACTCAGCTTTAGGACGGGCAGTAAAATGGTGTGACTTCATGTGATCACTGAGTTTAACAAGAGAGGGCAGCATTTTATCAGACAACTTTACAAAGACTTTGCCAGGCAGACTTTATGAGACAATTACAATGCCAGGAATTATATTTGAGTTAATATTTAAAGGCCATCCATCCAATCCTTGTAGAGGTGAAACGGAGGCTCCTGCTTTGACTTGGTTCTCAGCTTCAGACTGGAGAGCCGGATCTGGCTGGGGGGAAACCTTTTGCTCGGGTCCGTCAGCTGTGTTGTTTCTGCGGGTCTCACCAGCTGTAACAGCATCTCCATTTGGAAAAACTGTGGCATCCAGTGGAGCTGCTGTTATCTGTGGAGGGACACCTCTCCTCACCGAAATGCCACACAGCTCCTCCTGCAATTGGTTTTCATTAAAAGTGGTTGCTACCAAATAAAATGTGATGTTTAAATCCAGTTATGTGTCATTGTGTTTTTTTCTTTCCCCACACAGATTAAACTAGACTAACACACAGCCTGAGATGACGGCCATGCTGCTTTTCACTGTCATAAAAATATCTATGCAGTGATTTAACCTAATACCTCTCAACTTTCACAGGTCAAAACATTTTAAAATGATTTTAAAAGCTCCATTTAGTTCAGTAATTTACTTTAAAAAGTGAAAAAATTTCTGTTATTTAATTCAGTAATTCAAGAATTCAGAGTCTCAATAGCAGTATGCAGTGTTATGAAAACTTATTTTTGCTGTTACAAAGTTCTTCTGGGTTTTTTGTTTTTTTTTCCACATAAATATTTCAGATTATCAAATACATTTTCACATCAGATAATAATAACCCAAGCAAATACAAAAGCACTGTTCAAGTCAACCTGGTACTAAAATACTGTATATCACCCCACTTTGTTAAACAGTGAATTGACTAAAAATAACTATATGTATCTGTCCTGGCCTTCAGCACCGATCACAGCCAGGGCTCAGCCAATTTGGAAGGAAATAAGGTAAAAGATCTCAAAAATGGATAAGAAGCAAAATCTTTGACATCTCTTGGTCTGGAAAGTATGACAAATATATATATATTTTAAGGATTTAGTACTTCAGAGACCCAAACTCAGTAGTTTCCTCTCTGTAGTGTCAGACCTGCCAGAATTACTACAATAACATCAAAGACTTTTCCAGGATATCACAAAAGAGCTAAATATAAGAACTGGCTCTTATACACTGCAGATGTCACTGACTTCTCCCAAACTGGGTGCTCTGGATTCAACAGTAAGAGAGAGATAAAAACAAAAATGAGAAGCCACTCCTGCCTGAGAGAACACAAAGGCCTGTCTCACATTTAGAGAAAAGCATCTTAACGTTCTCCAAGACTGTCTGGGGTTTAGTTTGAGGCTTTAATCTTTATTAAAACCTGAATAACTAGCCTTCACTAGTTAAATCATAAATTCTACTCTCTACCAAAAAACATTCAGCCTTCAGTTTTTGACATTGAGCTTCAGTTCAGCTGGGCTAGAAAGCATGTCATCAAGTCAAGCACTGATTGGCTCACAACAAACAAAATGACGCCTATGGAGCGGCCTAGTCAAAGTCCAACCTCAAATGTGAGGTTGTGGTTATCTTGTTGGAAGGTAGCAATCTTCCTGTTGGAAGATTTATGGGGGTGATAACTTTTCATATAATGTCACATTAGTTTGGATAGGTTTTCTTTTAACCAAGTACAAAAATTACATCATTGTTTGAAACTATATTTGCTAATTACCCATTTGATGATCTGAAATATTTAAATAATGAAAAGAACAAAAAAGAGCAGAAAAAATCAGCAAAAGGCTTTTAAAGATTGAAATACATAAACTTTTCAATGGTCTGACTGATTGGGATGCAGTTGGATGCTGTGTGTGAGTACATGCAGAATTCCTGTAAACAGTCATCAGTTTCCTGGAATAAATGTTTAAATGTTTTTTCATAAGTGCAAAATCCCCAAAGTTCGACTGTCAGTAGTAGGTGGACAAGAAGATTTAGTTACTGCAGAAATAAAAATAAAACCAAAAGTGAAATTAAACTGTGGTTTTATAGAACCAGTGGGTAATTCAAAGAAGCCTCTAGAAACCGAAAGCAAAAGTATGAACTGAAGCACAATGAGACCCCTGTGTATATTACTGAACAGATGTCTTAATCCCCATCCAAGAAACATGATGACACCCCATATGATCATGAAGTTAGAACAGAAAGTTAACACAGCCACGCTAACTGTGACTGAAAGGACCAATTCACAAGATGCTGAAAAGATGCTTAAGGATCAGACACTAATCAAGACAATGCTTCTAACGGGGAGTCAAAGTGATAACAGAGGAAAGCAAAAACTATCTGGGATATGGAAACAAATCCCAGATGTGCAAAGTGGTTTGATACGATGAGGTAATAAAAACATGTATGAATGAGAAACACACCACTGTAACAACTGAATCCACATGTTTTATTTTTGTTGAGGAACCTTTTTTAATCTGAGAAGAGAAAAAATACTTCAGCATTAGGAACATATTAGTGGATATGTTTGTAGAAAATAACATGCATAAATACTTGTCTGAAATAGTTTTATGACAGACACAAAGTCAGTCATAACAGTCACATTTCAAAATTACAAAATATTTGTCATCTTTCTCTCTTTTTTTCCAAAACAAATACACCCAAAAAATTTGTCATATGAATAGATAAATAAATAATAGATGAATATCAATAGATACATTCAGTTTTGTTAAACGAACTAAAAATGGGTTTAAAATCAAAAACACTGGCTTGTGCTTGAAACAACAAAAAATATTGTGGTAATATAGCAAATGTTTTAGCATATTATACATTAAATAATGTTATTTCTTACTAAAATAACAGACGAGTCTCTCGACCCAACCAGGGACAAGAGTGTTAGAAAATTGATGGATGGATAACAGACAACATAGGCATGTCTGACACTGTTTAATCAATAAATGTTCGTCACTGTAACTGGTCAATATTTCAACCAAATTTAACACTATTGACTTGAATTTTAATATGACAAATTTACTTTATTGGCTTAATTGGCACAACTTATGTCAGGTAGCAATATATCTTCCTTCCTCAATCAGCCATTTATGTATCAATTCAGTGTATTTGTTTTT